GCATCCTGGCGCGGCCGATCCGATTCGATCCCGGCTCCGTGCCGATGCGGCCCGCTCCAACGCACGTCCTGATCGGATTTACCGATTCGATGCCGATTCACCTCGCCCATGTGCCTCTCCTGTCGGAGCTCTTCTCGCGCTCCGCGCGTGCCCGCAAGCCATCTACGACGAGCTGGACGCCGATGGCGACGGGTGCCTCTCCTGGGACGAGCTCCAGGACCACGCCCTCGTGCCTTCTCCTCCCTCCTCCCGTCTCCTCCTCATCCACCTCCCTCCCTCCTCCCTCCTCCTTCTTCCCTCCTCCCTTCTCCCTCCCTCGCCCCGCGTCCTCGTCGTCCTCCGTCCTCCTCCTCCTCCTCCTCCTCCTCATCCACCTCCCTCCTCCTCCTCCACCTCCTCCTTTTCCGTAGCCATTTTGGCTCAAGATCTTCAGTTGGCCACGCCAACAAATGGATACCGCTAGCCCGCGGCCAGCTTCCAAGAGTTTTCGCCTGTTCCAATCAAGAGCGTGCAGGCCGCTCACATATCCATATTTCTTTGCGGTTGCTCTTGTGGCAGTGGCCTTCATATTCTTGAGTGACGTGCCTCCTGCCGCAGAGCGAGTGCCATGCCACCGAGCGAGTCTCAGCCAACCAGTGGAAAACGAGCGGAAGGAGTCGCTGCGCAGCCTCAGGATCCATGGTTCCACTCCGCCCAGAAGACCCAGTTGCAAGAACTACCTGCTCACCTTCGACACCACTTGGAGGAGACACTGTCCGCTCAGGTCAAGGTTGCTGCTGCTGAGTTCGAGAAGACAGCCAACGCAGTCGTGGAAAAAGCTAGAGGACAATTCATGGCCACCATCACATCCATCACGGCCGACCTCCATGCCAAGAACGAGCGGACAGAGAGAGAACTGCAGAGTACAAAGTGTCGCGTTGAGAAGACAGAGACCGCCACCCGAGAGCTTCGTGAATCAGTGGTAAAACTTCAGCGGATTGTTGGCGAGGCAAAAGCTCGCTATCCATGCCTGGACATCACGAACACGGCATTCGACAGACAAGCAGATCCATGTACATTCTGGTGTGGAGCCGCCGCCACTTTCAGCACGGAGGAGCTCAAAACTGCACTCGCCGCCTGGCTCCGCGATGCCAACGTCACATCCGAGCAGATCTCCTCCAACAGCACGGGACTGGACAGGAAGCGCAGCTTCACCGTCACGGGCGGCACGGTGGTGGCAGGACCCAGAGCACGGCGACTTCACGAAGCACTCCGACAAGGACGGGATTGGCGCACATTCGAGCTCGCCAGAGATGGAGGCTCTGCGGTACAACTCTACGTCTCTGCTGATAAGAGCCCTCGGACGGTTCGACGCGAAGTGCAGCTCAAGCGCCTCGGCACCCTCATCACGGAGCGCTTCGCGCAACTTCCTCTGCGACTTCACCGCGGCCAGGGCTACATCACCAGCAACAACGAGGTCTTGGTACATATCCACGTCGGCAGTACCCCAGAGGAACCCACCACAACCAGATGGACGACCGCCGCGGTCCGCGCTGGCATTGATGACGACCGCCAGAAGAACATCCGCACGGCCTTCGAGAACAGCTTCTCTGATGCACTCACAGCGGCGCAGTGGCTTTAGCCCGCGAAGGGCGCCGTGGTTGTGCAAGCAGACGGACCAAGACATGCAGATCGCCTACTGGAATGCTCAAGCTCTTCATGGATCCTCTGACCAACGGCGCGCTGCTAAACGATCTCCTCTGCTACTTCTCATGCGTCAGCGAGCCCTGATTGCGCTACAAGAGACGCGCGGCTCGAGCTTCGACATGGACATGCTGGCGCGCTCCACTCCTCATCGGTATCGAGCTTATCACTCCAGCGCCCCGAACTACACGACGGCGGGCGGCATTGGCTGTCTCTTGCCGTACGACCTGGTCGACCAGAACCGCCCGCCCGACGAATGCCCTCAGCACTTCTTTGCCGAAGTCGTTCCTGGGCGAGCTGCTTCGCTCAGCATACGGGATTCGTCGCGTCAATATGAGACTGTGATCTTCAACGCTCACAACTACGACCTGTCGCCGAGTGACCGAGCTGCTATTCGTGAACATTGGCAGCTACAACGTGATCACGCGGCAGCTGATCCACGCAGGAGGACGTTCATCATGCTCGGCGACATCAACATCTCGGCGCACCCGCCGAGGAGTTCTTCGTCTCCGATCGACTCCACCGCGGTCGAGGCGAACGGGTGCCAATGCCAGCCGCTCTTCTGGAAGAACCTCTTCAAGGATATGCTCGAGATAACCGCGATGGCCACCGCGCACCGCGCGGTTGCCATCGCACGGAGAGCGCCATCGACCGCTGCTTCGTCTCCCTGGCCTCGCACGACCTCCCCTTCATGGACATTGAACTGAAGGCCGATGATTCTCCGCTCGAAAACCCAACTGGCATGACAAGCGGCCACAAGATTATGATTCTCCACATTCGCCCTGCTCACAGCAAGCCCGTGCAGGATCAACCTGTTCCTGCTGTTCTATTTGATTCTCCACATTGCGCTCATCACTATGCGAAACTATCCGCTCGACATGATATATCTCATTATGATCCTGTTCATCAATGGCGATGCCAGAAATCGTTGATGCACGAGGCCGCCCGCCTGACCAGGAACACGCTGGCGAAGATTCCCGCGGCCGAACTCGACTCGCAGAACTCGGACGTCAGCAAGGAGATCCGCGGCATGACCCTGAGGAGCATCGCCCGCGCTGTCTGGTACCAGAGCAAAGACCTTGCCTCCACGCTCATCGATAACACCGAGATCGGCCGCAAGTACCTCCAGATTGACGGTTACAGCGTCAAGCTCAACCACTTGATCGACTACACCAACGAGACCCTCGACGCACACTCCTCACTCGCTGAAGAACGGCGTGCCCGCGCTGCTGCCCAAGCCCGAGATGAATGCGCGAAACAGAATATACAGCTTGGAGACCAATGGCGACATCGTGCCCGTCAGCATGCTCGTAGAGGTGAACTATGGCGGCCCTTCTCGAGACGCCTCGTCCTAGCTGGCATCAAAATCACGACGGGGGACGCGGCTTACGAGCCGAGCCAGATGCACACTGCCATCATGAGCCACTGGGGCCCGATCTTTGCCGCCCGCACGACCTCGGACCAAGACGTTCAAGAGCGCCTCGACCGTGTCTTTCCTCAGCGCCCCGCACTGGAATATGCTGTGCCAGGAGAAGAAGAGCTGCGACAAGTTGCTAAACAAGCTGGCGATTCCGCGCCTGGGCCGGACGGGCTACCCTACCGCGCCCGGCTTCGATCGCCTGAAGCTCTTTCCATCTTGGCCAGCCTCGTCTCCCACATGATAGACTACGGGGCACCGCGCGACCTGAACCACGCGCTGATGGCCATGCTGCCCAAGGGAGACGAGCCGCTGGGGAACTGTGAGTGCACGCGAACGCCGAGCACGTTACGGCCCCTTCAGCATGAAAAACACGGACGTGAAACTCATCGCCTCAGCAGCCAACATCACTCTCGCGCACCTCGCGAAGGACACGTCAGAGGAGCAGAAGGGATGTGTTCGAGGCCGCCAATTCCTGCACAACGTCGTGCAGGTTGACATGCAAGCGACTCTCTCCAGCACGGACCCCCACGCCGGCGCTCTGATGCCCATCTTCGCGTCCATGGACATCGCGGCCGCCTTCCCCTCGCTGATCCGACAATGGCTATGGGCAGTGCTGGCGCCGTGGGGCATCCAGGGGAACTTCGCCAAGATCCTGATGTGCTGCTACACGAACCCGCTGTGCTTCCTCACAATTGGTGGGGTTCGGCGTCCCCTTCTCATTGCCGAGTCTGGAGTGTCTCAAGGATGCCCACTCAGTGGAACCATATGGGCGTTAGTCTTCGACCCGTTCATCCGTGGCATCTCGTTAGAACTCCACCAACTTCGTCGTGGTCTTATCAGTGCATGTGCTGATGATCTCGGTATCATACTACGCCGTCTTCGTGATCTTCAACGTCTTCTACCTCATCTACTCGCTGCAGAAAATCTCGCAGGATTACAACTCCAACCAAAGAAGTGCGACATCGTTCCCACCTGGTCCCTGCCGACGCCCAACCTGATCGTAGGCATTCAGAACATCCTCGAAAGCATCCACACCCCGTGGAGGAACTTCACTATCGCCTCTTCTGCAAAGTACCTCGGCTTTCAGGTGGGACCTGGAGCGTCGCTGCAGGATCAATGGAGGGCTCCAGCGACCAAGTGGTGGGAGCGTGTTCTCAAGCTGGCTGAGGGCTTCTCGCCCTTGCAACTCAGTATCAAAACATATAATGTGGCTGCCGTTACATGTCTATCATATGTGGGTCAACTTTACGAACCTCCTGAGGCTCTTCTTGCCAAAGAACAGCGTGCTCTTCACAAGATACTTCGAGTGGCTCCCAACAGTTTCTCCAAAAACGATATCTTCGGCATGACGGGCTGGACTCGAATCGAAGTACCTGCATAAACTGAACTCGCGCTGGCGGCTACGATGTGGCGCACGGCGACGAAGACACTGACTGGATGGACACAATGGTATCACGAGCTGAAGGAGAATGCGATCGCCACGCTGGGGTTCGTTGCCGAGATCTCTGGCCAGTGGAGCGCTCCGTGCTGGATCAACCCGGTCTCCATCGTGCAGCGCTTTTTCGACACCACCACCTCGGAGTTCACGTCAACACCGCTGGCTCGCACTTTAAGAGACTCGTGCGTGATCTTGGTGGTGAACAGCGGGCGCACGCAGCACTCCGCGCAGCACATCTTCATGCTGCTCGTCTAGGTGCAGCAGTGATGCAGCCACCGCGACGCCGTGCTGGATATGATGATAGCCCGCCGGCGCGCCCGCAGTCACCTCAGTTGGCGTGCCTCCTCGGCCTGTGCTCCAAGCTCCACAATGGCACGTTCCACAACACCATTGCTGAACGCTTGTCTGCTTGGTATCTTCTGCCGCGTCCAATGCGCCATCAAGACCCTGCACTCCCGCTTGCTCAAGCTACGAGAGCGAATCTACAAGACCGTGCGGCGCACTGGGCTGGCAGCTGGCTCCCCGATCTTCTCTTGATGGACCCCAACATTGACAACAAGAAGGAGTGGGACGAGTGGTGGTGCATCGAGTATGTCATGCGGGTGTTGAACCGCGACGTCTTTTTGCCCATCTGCTCCACCAGAGCGGAGCGCAGACGTTTGGCAACTGCCATATG